CTCTCTCTCTCTCCAAATACACAAAAAAATCTTAAAAAAAAAAAAAAAAAGAGGCTCACTGGTGAAGCTGTCATCTTTAAAGCCCCCAGAGAAGAAATGGGGAGGACAATAGAAACACCTTTGAGAAGATAGAATTTCATTCACCCAAGATGTTAGTCTCATTATGGCCTTCCGTTGGATCCCAGGGGTGTTTGAGAGGTCTAAGAAGTAAAAGAGAACCAAGAACTAAAACAAGTGTGGGGCGACTGGGTGGCTTAGTTGTTAAGCATCTGCCTTCAGCCCAGGTCATGATCCCAGGGTCCTGGGATGGAGACCTGCATCGGGCTCCCTGTTCCGCGGGAAGCCTGCTTCTCCCTCTCCCACTCCCCCTGCTTGTGTTCCCTCTCTCAGCTGTGTCTTTCTCTGTCAAATGAATAAATAAAATCTAAAAAAAAAAAAAAACTCAGACAAATGTTATATATATTTAACAAAATTATATTTGTATTTTGTGTAAGTTATAATATATAATATACTTTTATATAAATATATTATAAAATATATGTGATGAAATTTTATGATACGTGTGTATAATTGCATATGTGTGTATATATATATATTGAATATGTGTATATATAGAACTGAGATGTAACAAAGACCGTCACACTATAAAAACACCCTTTAACCCTCGATTGGGGGTGCAAGGTTTTCCAGGCTGGCTCACTCACTGCTCCACTCCCCTTTTCCTTCTTTCTTCTACCTCAACCCACATGCTCTCTAGAGGCATAGATAAATGAATTCGATTACTCAAAAGAGCCACTGACGAGTTACTTTATCTTCAAAAGTTAGTACACCTGAAGGCAGGGCCAGGAAGACATATGTTCCTTGGCCTCCAAGTTGACCAGTAATGTGACATCCCTGGTACTGTCATGCTTTCATGCCTTTTCAAACTGTTATTCTTTAAATATTTAATATTTTCACACAGATGTGCATTTACAGTGTCTTTATTTTTTTTGTTTTATTATATTATGTTAGTCACCATACATTACATCATTAGTTTTTGATGTAGTGTTCCATGATTCATTGTTCGTGTATAATACCCAGGGCTTCATTTACATTGTCTTTAAATATATAAGTATCCTTTTTTAAACATAGAGCCTTTTTTCTTAAGGGATAGCCCTGGCTTCACTTGTATGTATTGGAAAGTCAAGTTCTTGCTTCGAATGTGCCTTCATCTACTCTGCAAAACAGAAGCCCTAAAGGCGCCCTGACACAGACTCCTTAGACAGCAGTTTGGGAAATAAGAGTATTCCTACTTGAGCCTACTCCTGAGGAGCCTTGACCCCTGCCCAGGAGGATTAGCCATATTTTCCTTTTATCACTATCATGACAAGTACTGATTTATACTCCATTCTCTCCCTCTCGTTGCATTTTCAGTGATAGTTTGGTTCCTTTTATGGAATGTATAGCAAACAGCCCAGTGGGTCTGCCCTCCGGTGAGGATCTGGGAATCTGTAGGATGGTTGTAGTTGGGGATGGAGGTGAAGCTGTTCTTAGTGCAGTAGACATCTGCTCTTCTGTCTGCCCAGCAATCATTCCTGCTTCCTCAGGTGAGAGTTTGCTGATATTCCTTGGGGAAATGCTCTCCGTTCATGTGTCCCATGGGGCACGTGTCCCAGATCCGGCACTGGTTCCGAGAAGGATGTGTGGCCCCAGCCAGACCAGGGAGAGTCAGGATGTCTGCATGGACCCTAAGGAAAAGAGAACTCGCTCTCCACCAGGGTTGCTAAACCGATAGAAGGGAAACCTGTAGCTCCATTTGGCCATTTCTTGCCGTTGAATGAAAAGAGTATGGAGGCCCTGGGAGGGAGGCAGAGCCAAGAAAGAGAAGCTCCTGAGGATATGACTTCACACCTGAACCAGCCGTGCCTAAAGCCAGATACGCCCCTGAATTTTCAGTTTCATGAGCAAACACCTTCCCCTCTTTACTTAAGCTGGGTTTTCTGTCCTTTGCAACCGAAAAAGTCCTGATTAATAAAGCAAGCTGTATGATCAGCCTTCCCCTCAATAAAATAACGGCAACCACAAAAAGATTTCACCAGGATTAGGAAATGGGCTCTTTCTTTGAGCACGGATTATAGTCCGTCTCTGGATCAGGATTGGGATCGGGAGGGCTCTAATTCGGAAAGAAAATGGAGATGGAACCAAAGTATTTGAACTCAATTTATTAACAGAAAGAGTATTCAATCTTTTACCAAATATTTATTGAGCACCAGATGCCTGCTGGACGAGTCAGTGCGCTGGGCGACGGGACACAGCCCAGAGCAAGAGGCAGGGTCAGCCCCTTGCTCACACTTTAGTGGAGAAAAACGGAAAGTAAACAAGGAAGTGCTACATCACATGGTGGCCTATGTTTTGGAGAAAAATAAAGCAGAATGAGGAGGATGGGGAGTGGGGGATGGGCCGAGAAGGAGAGGCCTCTCATCCAAGCAGAAAGCAGAAGCAAAAAGGAGCCACACCGTTCTCTGAGGGCGAGGACAGCCCAGGAGCAAAATCCCCGAGGTGGGAAGGCACAGGGCAGGGCCACGGAATGGCTAGAAAGGATGCACAGGAGCTAAAGCAGAGCTAGAAAGGAGGCCAGATCCTGTAGGACCCTCTAGACACTGTAAGGACTTCCCTTTGACTCTGAGCAAGCTGGGAGCCAACGGAGCGTTTTGCAAAGAGGAAAGCTGTGACCTCCTGTCATTTGAAGGATGGTTCTAGCTGCTGTGTGGAAAATAGGTAGGAGCTGGGGTGAGGGGTTGCAGGGCGGGGGTGGGTGACAGGAGCAAGGACAGAAGCTGAGAGATGCTGTCCAATTCTACCCAAGCTTTCCGATGGAAATAGCATAAAAACGTTTAAATCCAAGCAGTCTGCCAGAAGAAGAAGAGTATTGAAAAAACAATTCTCAAATACCCCTGCAGAGAAAGAGTTCAAAACCACGGCAAATAAATAATTATGATTTTAGTCCCTCATAGTTCCAGACCAGTGGTTCTCAATCAAGATCTTGTTTTTCAAATAATGCAATATATGTTAAGAAAAAGAAGAAGAAGAAGAAGATAGCAGGAGGGGAAGAATGAAGGGGGGTAAGTCGGAGGGGGAGATGGACTCTGAAAAACAAACTGAGGGTTCTAGAGGGGAGGGGGGTGGGGGGATGGGTTAGCCTGGTGATGGGTATTAAAGAGGGCACATTCTGCGTGGAGCTCTGGGTGTTATGCACAAACAATGAATCATGGAACACTGCATCAAAAACTAATGATGTAATGTATGGTGGTTAACATAACAATAAAAAAATTATTAAAAAAAAAAAAAAGATCTTGTTTTTTTCCCCCCAGGATACATCTGGCAATGTCTGGAGACCTTGATGGTTGTCACAAATGGCCGGGGGGGGGGGCGGGCAGGAGGGGAGCGTGCTCAGGGGGCCTTGCGGGTAGAGGCCAGGAAGGCCGCTAAGCAGCCCAACACAGCCCCACACAACAATGGGCCGAGCCGTCCAGCCTCACGTATCAATAGTGCTGAGGTGGAGACATCCTAGTCTACAGAGTGTAAAGATTCATTGTTCTCAGTTTCTGTGTTAGTGACTCTTAAACTTGCACTAAATATGAAACCAGAGAAGCACAGACTGAGTTGGATTATTTTCCCCTTTGGCTAATCATTTGAAAGACAAAAGCTATCATTGCTGTTTTCCATTTAAGAACAGCTTATTGAAAAAGAAAATAATAAAGAGCAGCCGTGCTGTCCAGTAGATCCTTAGGAAAAGAAGGGACAGAAGAATATTCCTCAGTTTGTAACAGGAAGAAGACTTAAAAAAAATTTTTTTTAATATAAAATGTCATTGCAGGGAAACAAAAGTACCTGGCACAGATTTTGCTTTGGGGAGGAAAATGCCTTTGAAAACCCAACTAGTTGTATAATTAAGTGATAATGAATGCAGAGCTGTACTTTGTATTCCATTCCAGCACATTGGAGTTGAATCTGAGCTTGAAAAGCTAAATCCCTCAGTGCGCTGGCCCCTCATCAGTGAAGTGCAAATCAAGGCCTTTAACTGCTACAGAAGGGGTGTTTCCAAAAAAAAAGTGTGAACTACAAATATTATGTTTTCAAACTGCCTGCTTTCTAATGATATGCTAAGTTGTAGATGCAAACCGTATTTAATAGAAAGAAATGTTTCCTTGGAACAAGAAAGCAAGCTATCATATGTGATGTTTTATGCTAAATGGAACGATAATCTAGTTTTTAAAAAGAAAGAAGGGCTATTAATTTCCAGTTTATAAGGGCAGTAGGAACGCTTTCTGGATTTTTAACTCACCAATGATTCTACTTAGAGGAAGACTGAATAATATTTTTCTTTGTGCTCTGGCGAACATCATGTGTAAGAAGTATGAGAATAGGTGTGTATGTCGGATTAAGCTTTTCACTTTGTTATAAAGATAATTAGTCTTTGGAAACTTGTCTTAACAAGAGTTGAGAAAACTTCAAAAAATACACAGCAACAAACAGAGGACCTGCAAACATAAGAAATTCCTAAGATGATGAGTTATTTAAAATGTTATTATGATAATTAAAGGACAAAATATAACCAACTTGCAGACAGGAAATCCTTCAAAGAAGCCAGTATCATTTGATGTTTTTATCTTGATACTTAAAAATAAACTGAAAGTTAAAGAGATGGAAATTTGTTTGTTTGTTTTACCAATTGGTATTTTCTCAAAACAGGACTAAAACAAAAATTCCACATACAAGGAATTTAGGAGGTAAGCCCAATGGGAAGCAAAAGAGACAACCTAATACATGTTCAAGTTCAAGTAGCATTTTGATAAATAAGTAGGCTTAAATGAAGAGAAACAGGGCTCTACAACAGGAGGGTAAACGGATGACAAAAGTGGTGAGTATTCTACTTATCAGTTAAACACCCACAAATTTGTATCTACCCGATTTCATCGGAAGCACAGGTTCTCACCTAGCTCTGACCACAGAAGCGTGCCATGGGGGAACATCCGTTCCAAGAGAACCGGAAGACCGGGGCTATGCAGGGGACCACCACGGAAGACCAGGACAGCAATCAGACGAGGCTGCCCGTCAGTCTATTCCTGCCCGGTGATAGCATGATCACAGAAGGAAGAAGTTGGGGCAAACGGGTCTAGTGACACAGTAAGACAGACCCAATACATTTTTCTCTTTTGTAATTATGCCTTCATCCAAAACTGTCTGCTTAAGAACTTTCTGGGTGAGACGGGCAAGTAGCTTCTTCTGCTGGCTCTGATCAAACCAGTAGAATTAATTAACTGTGGAGTTGCATGTCCACATTGCTCCACCTTCACTGCAAGCCAATATCCCCAAACCAACAAAGCTATGGATTGGGAAGCTTGCAGCCGGCAGCCCAGATGCCTCGCTCGCCCATGAGTTTTTTGGCAGAAGTAATCAAGGCTACAGCAGCAAGGGCAGGGTAGGAAGGAGGCCTTTAGGATGCCTTTGCCAATGCCAAACATGGAATGTAGTCAGACTGCTTGAAGTTCAAGAGTGACATGATCCACCTGATGGATGACCCACAAATTAAATAGATCATTTCAGGTGAAAGATTGGAGAGTCAGATGAACTAAAACTTCTTTTCTGATTTTTTTCTGATTAAAAGATACCTACGGGGGGCACCTGGTTGGCTCAATAGGTTAAGTGTCCGACTTCGGCTCAGGTCATGATCTCAGGGTCCTGGGATCAAGCCCCACTTGGGGCTCCCTGCTCAGCGGGGAGTCTGCTTCTCCTTCTCCCTCTGCCCCTCCCCCTGCTCGTGCTCGAGTTCTCTCTCTCTCTCTCTCTCTCAAATAAATAAATAAAATCTTAAAAAAAAAAAAAAAGACAGGACAGCCTAGTAGCACAAGAGAGGTTGGCCTGTGGGAAATGTATTACCTTGCGCTTTGAATTATTGATTTTTTAATGGAATGTCTATTCTCTCAAACTGAATTATATGTTTCCTATAATTCTCTATTATCAACCTCCCATCCCCAGCATTTAGCATTTAAAGACAGCCTTTAGCAAAGCCCCTGCGTAGAGGAAAGAATAGTCATAGATGATATTTTTTAAGATTTGAAAGAAAATTCATTGCAAATAATTATAAGTAATTTCTTCTGAAAGGGCACATAAATTAATGACATTTGTGGATAATACTTCCATATTTTTTCCTTTAGTTTTTTTTTCTTTTTTATCATCATGAATCAGAAGGCAAAAAAATTTTTTTTGTGAGGAATACTCAAAGGGCAATAGAAATACTTCAGTGTCATTGAAGACTCAACAGAAATTAAAACACTTCTGTCAGGATATAAGGGTTAAAGAAATTGTGAATCAGGAGAAAGATGCACAGATGTTACTTTAAACCCCAAACCATAAACTGGCTCATAGGCCTGCCACAGTCTAATGCTAAATCGGTCAGAGTTCTTAGTAGCAAACAACAGAATCTTCTTTGACCGGTTTAAACATTTATATAAAGTTATTTATTAACTTTATTTATTTATTAAAAGTTTTTTATTTAAAGTCTACCCCTCATCACTGCCCCCAAGTATCAAAGTATTAGGTACTTAGTAACATGTCCTAAGCAGACAGCAATTTAATTTATTTCAACAGTTGTGCTTTTTTTCCCCCAACGGTTATGTTTTTAATGCTTGGAAGGGAGCCTTAGTTCAGCCACTTAGAAATTATGTGAGGTTAGGCAAATTACTCGACCCTATGAGTCTGCTGCTTCCTCCTCCACAAAATGGGAATGATGAGTTTCTCATAGAGTTGATGCCATGACATTTTTGGAAATGGGGCACAAGCCTGGACTGGAGTAGACACACAATAAATATAATGTCCACACATGCCCAAGCTTTATGCTTTAATGGAGTAAGCAGCTACCTAGCTGTGTGATTTCCAATGTCCCGGGAAACCCTCCCACCCTTCACCAAGCCCCCACTACACATACACAGACACACACATACACTCACACTCACACATCCCACACACACATCGGCTCACTCGTGACTGGAGTCAGGGAGATCCTGGGATCGAGCCATGAGAAATGAGTTTGACAAGACCATGGATTTGAGGAACCCACACTGAGACAGAAGTGGTAGTTATGAGATCCCATTCAGAGAGCCGTTGTACGGGAAGAGGCAAAGGACACTGCTGTCCTGGCGGTGGCAGGAGACGGATACCACAGAGTACTGCCTGAAAGTAAGAAGGGGTGAGGCACCTGCTGAAGTGGCCCAGATATTCCTCAAAGTGACAAATGACAAGCTCCATTTGACCAATGTAGAGAGTGAGAGTGAGAATATAAATAACGCATATTATAGGGATTCTCGGATAGGGATCAAAGACTGGAAAACCCTGATTTGCCGTGCTAGCATCACCTTAGAAAGAGCACAAACTACCCACAACTCCTGGACACAGGCAGTCCCAGGTAAGGGGGGCGGGAGGGGATGCAGGGGACATACGTGGACAGGCACAGAGCATTGAATTCAAATCTGGCCAATGAAAAACCCCTCCTATGTGTAATCCCTGATTTCTTTTTTTTTTAAGATTTCATTTATTTATTTGAGAGAGAGACAGAGAGAGCACAAGCATGGGGAGAGGCAGAGGAAGAAGGAGAGAAGCAGACTCCTTGTTCAGTGGGGAGCCCAACACGGGGCCTGATCCCAGGACCCTGAGATCATGACCTGAGCCCGAGTCATGACCGACTGAGCTACTGACTGAGCCACCCAGGTGCCCCTGTAATCCCTGATTTCTACTATCACCTTACAGTAAATATCTGCCCAGAATAACTATTTCTTTTTTTTTTTATAATTTTTTTATTATGTTATGTTAGTCACCATACAATACATCATTAGTTTTGGATGTAGTGTTCCATGATTCATTGTTTGCGCATAACACCCAGTGCTCCACGCAAAACGTGCCCTCCTTAATACCCATCACCAGGCTAACCCATCCCACCACCCCCTTCCCCTCTAAAACCCTCAGTTTGATTCCTGGAGTCCAGAGTCTCTCATGAGGGGGAGACAAACCATGAGAGACTAACTCTCTATTTCTTATGATCAAAGCAAAACAAATAAAAAAACTAAGTGAAATAGTGGACTGAGCCAGGAGCCTTGAGAGAAAGAGTAGAAATGTGAAAACTTCAAGGACAGGCCCACACCACACATGTTCCTTTGGTCTCTCTCTGTCTTGCATGAATGCCCTTCATCCCTGTCACTACCTGGTGGGCTCCTCTTCATCCTTCAAGACCCAGCTTAATTATCTACTGCCTTCTCTGTAAAACCTTCCGAAGGACTACAGAAGGAATTAGTCATTCCTTCCTTGTGCTTGGGCACCTCCTGTGTCCCACTTCCTGTCTTCTTGGCTCACTTTTCTGACCCAGCCCTAGCTGTGGCACCAGCTGTGCCCAGGAATTACCTGGCAATCTTGTACCTCAGCCACACCCCCATCTCTTCATCACAGCCCCATCCAGCCATCTTGACACATGTGCAAACCGAGACAGAAAAGAGAGTTAACATCTTATGGGGCAAACCTTGACTCAGAAGATGGGAGCTGGTGGAAAAAATGCCCCACTCTTACACGTCTCAGGGTACAATTTTGAGGTACATTCTACACAGCTCCTAAAAGGCCCCAATGGCATTGCATTGCAGTTGCCCTCAGCAGTAACCAGTTAATAATACACACTTCAACGGGCTTTCCAGCCTTCCCAGTTTCACTTTGTCTAGCAAGCACCCTGCACGTACCTTAAAATCACTTCCCAAAATAAACTACCTGCAAACAAGCCCTCATCTCAGGCTCTGCTCAAATACAAGTTCGTAATGGTTTTGACTATAAAGCACACAGAAAAACAGACCATCCACACAGACTACTCTTCCATCCTCAACATGTCAGCTTGGAAACCAGTCCCATTGTTATGAAAAAAGATGGTATCTAGCAAGCTCCTTTGGCTAGATGAACACAAAACTATCACTCTCAGAGAGGAAAATAATCCCAACTTTGAAAGATGTTAGTCTGAAGGACCATCTTTGTGTGGCGAGGCCATCTCCTCCATCCAACATCGCTTACTATCAATATTAAGATAAATTGGGGCGCTTGGGTGGCTCAGATGGTTAAGCGTCTGCTTTCAGCTCAGGTCATGATCCCAGGGTCCTGGGATCGAGCTCCGCATCAGGCTCCCTGCTCAGCGGGGGGCCTGCTTCTCCCCCTCCCTCTGCTTCTCCCCCTGCTCATATTCTCTCTCTCTCTCTGTATCTCTGTGTCTCGAATGAATAAATAAAAAAACCTTTTAAAAAAATACTAAGATAAATTAATCCTCTCTTCTAAAAATGGCCCACCCATAGTTAGAGTTCAGTCCTTTCCACTGGCGGCTCCCAGGTGCCTGGATGGGGCGTTTTGCAAGAACCCATGGTAATTTATATGAGCACCGTGCCTTGTATGCAGAGAGAATAAATGGCTCATCATTTTCATCTGACCACTATGTATGTAGATGAGCTGTAATTAATCAGACAGAAATTCATTTAAAAATGTTACTGATTTGGGGCGCCTGGATGACACAGTCAGTTAAGTGCCAGACTCTTGATTTCAGCTCAGGTCATGATCTCAGGGTTGTAAGATCGAGCCCCAGGGAGGGTTCTGCTCTGTGTGTGGAGCCTGCTTAAGATTCTCTCCCCCCCTAAATTAATTCATTCATTAATTAAAATGTTACTGATTTCAGCCAGGATGTATAATCTCCATCAGTGATGCATATCCTAACATGGGGGGCATCGGCAAACTACTTTCAAATTTCAAAAGGGCGCCCATATTCCAAAAGTTTGACCAACTCCCTGTTTTAAGTGGTATTAATGGAAAACAATAATTGTTTAATAATAACCTCTATGCACTGAGTGCCTACATTTATTATCTTAACCCTCTCCACAATCCTGCAAGAAAGTATTATTAGACTTATTTTAAAGGTAAGAAAACAGGTTCAGAATGTGTAAAGGACTTTCCTGAGGCCACGAGGATAATAAGTGATGAATTGAAGATCAAAATCCAGGCCTATGAGACCTTACTATCACTATCATTCATTCATGAATTCATTCACTCACTGCATAGGC